TATGGAAAGATCGGGTTCCAAAGGCCGGATCCCTTGTGAATCAAGTCACGAAAAATTTAGGAATCGGCAACAGGCCATGGGCCTATTTCTTCAGTGCCGACACTTCTATTCTATTGTAACACGAGTTTATTTAACAAAACGCTGTCTTCGAATCGGTAATTATTTAATAAGTTTATTGAATAATTTCTATTTGCGTCCTGCATCAAGTTCATGGTGGTAAAATGCAAAATTGCCAAAAGATTTTCGCATAGTGCATTTCTCATACGATTTATTATCTCTGAAGCATTTATCCGTCTAATTCGTTAGCTCGAACTCTTCCAATTCGTTCGTTACCCACAAGCATTCATCCGTTAGTTCGAACTCGGTCCAATTCGTTAGTTACCCACAACTTTATATACAAGAGCTATGTCTAATTCGTGCCTTTCCTCATAACTTCCCATCGGCTAGCTCTCCAATGAATTTCCAGGTCACCTCAGACCATCGCATGCTAGTCGTGTAGGCTGTACATAATTTGATAATGTTGCGAATTTTTTTAAAACTTGCTCCTCATTGCAGGTGCCACAGATTGGGACGGCCATCGTGGCAGATGGCTAACTGCAGCTGCAGCTCTCGGAGGTGAAGCTGGAGTGTCAACGTCTGCCGCAACCTCGAGTGGTCCCAGTGACAGCGATCTAACTCCGAGTATCGGTATAATCCGTAGAGCTTCTTGCTCCAGGTTACATCTTCGGTTCAGATTATATCAACTTGTTGATAGTTTCATTTGGTCATCGCTCTAAAAAGGAAAATTTTAAATTGTAGTTCATAATGTTTCTAAATATCTACGAACGTGATTTTCATTTTACTCCTTAATATTTTCTGGACACGCTCATCTATTTGTCACCACATTCATCCTTCAGTCAACACCTTCCAATTCCAGTCAGTACGTTCTTCATCTTGTCGGCAAGTACCATCGATATTCTACACTTGTCATCTCTGGTGCACGGCCACTCTTGTCTGCACGCCACCACCCCGTGCCTGAATCTTTCTCTTTGAGAAAGACTCTCTTTTGAGACTCTTTCTTTCTTTCTCTAGTCATTGTTTCTTGCCGGGTTGCGCATTTAGTTTCTACGCCTCACCTATTTGGCTGGTTCACTTGATATTTGGCAGGTTCACAACTTGTTACTAAATGGATTTTTTAATACATTTCTTCCCCGCTTTTATCGTTTTATTATAGTCAAAACATTAAGTGATATCGATGCCATTGTAGTCAAAACCTTAGGTCATATCGATGCCTTTGTAGGCAAATGACGAAAATAATGTCGTGGCGAGGACAGGGAAACAACGATCGGGCATGATAATAAATCTTTATAAGATTTATTGAAAATCAAATAAACCAAATCGCTGGAGCCGTCCACGGAAGGGGCAAATCGAGCTGTGCCACCCCTTCTTCCACACGACCTATCTCGTCAGGACACTCATCCTAGAAAGAACAATTAAGAGTTGGTCAATACCGAGTAAAAAATGAGGAATAAATTGGTAATCAATTATCCCTTACAGTTATAGATTTATTCAAGTATGAATTTAAACGAATCATCCATTTTAAACGAATCATCAATTTTTAACGAATCATCAATTTTTAACGAATCATCAATTTTAAGCGAATCATCAATTTTAAACGAATCATCAATTTTAAACGAATCATCAATTTTAAACGAATCATCAATTTTAAACGAATCATCAATATTAAACGAATCATCAATATTAAACGAATCATCAATTTTACACGAATCATCAATTTTAATCGAATCGCCAATTTTAATCGAATCATCAATTTTAAACGAATCATCAAATTTAAACGAATCATCAAATTTAATCGAATCATCAATTTTAATCGAATCGTCAATTTTAATCGAATCGTCAATTTTAAGCGAATCATCAATTTCAATCGAAACATCAATTTTAATCAAATCATCAATTTTAATCAATCATCAATTTTAATCAATCGTCAATTTTAATCAATCATCAATTTTAATCAATCATCAATTTTAATCAATCATCAATTTATTTGTAGGTTCCGCTATAAAAATTCCATTTATTTTTCTTTTTGCAGTATATAAAATTTAATTAGGAAGTACCCCTATCATAAATTTTAGCTGGCCAACGCAATTGAGAAAAACTAAATCACGGAATTTGTCCGGAAAAAAAGTACAAAAAAATAAAATAATAGTACAAGATGTAGCAACCGTAGTCAACGTGTTAAGAAAAATATCTTTAATTTTAAACCACTAAAACTCTTAGTTTTACAGCTCTCAATGGATTATGGTGCGTAGATAAAACCGCTGAACCCGGACAAGAAACTTCCATTTAGTAAATTCAGTTAAAACTGTGAACTCGTTCTTTGCGTGATACAGGTTTCACATCAATTCTAAAAGGTGCACGAAATCTAGATAGCAATACTCTTACTGTTTACAATAGGAAAGCATTTTAGAATGCTGAATCTCGTTTGTACAGGGTTATTCACAAAAACTTCCTTTTTATATTGTAGGAAAAGAGCGGAAAGTATTTCATATAAGAGGCAAAGTCTTGAAGTTTTGTTTCCCGCCCAGTCAGTTGCCACTATGCATCGTACAAGTGAGCAGCGTGCGTTTGCTGTCGAGGAGTTTTCTAATGGCCGTTCTGCAGAGTCGTCTCCGTCTGACACAACATTTGACAAAGCGTGTCATCTCCTTGAGAGGTAACTTTCTTTGGCCGCCCCGATCCCCCGATTTGGCTTCGTTGATTTTGTATGAGGTTATCTTAAATCAATTGTTTACAATAACTATCCAAGGACCTTACTTCATTTGGAGAACAACATAAGCCATTACATCGCCAACATACCAGTCAATATGATTAAGCGAGTTGAAAGAAACTTCCAAAATCGACTAACTGAATGCATTGAATATGGGGGCCGACATTTGTATGATGTCCTCTTTCTACTATAGATGATAGAGAAATTAATGTAATGCCTTTTTCAATAAATTTTATTTGTAATATTATCATTACTAGTTCTTTTTTATCAAGTTTTTAACTCAGGATGTTTTCATGAATATGTATATCTCTGTAGTATATCTCATATTTGAATAAGTTATAACAAGTTGTGCCATAATGTTTACAGTTTCTGGTCTAACACTAAACCATACCTACTATTTAAGTTTTCTAAATTATAAACAAAAAAGCTAGTAATAGAGATTATCCTAATTTGATAATAGGCGAAATTTATTTCACATTAGATTTCTATGTAAAGGACATTTATTTTTATTTAAAATTATAGTACGAGTTGTATTACACTCTTCATTCTAAAATACAAACAGGAATATACTTGAAGAATTTTGCGGCCCTGTACCGCTGTCGACGCTCTGACGGCATCTTCCCTTCTTTATAAAGAAGTGTAATTCTGATCTACCACAGAACTTATTGAAATAAATATATGTATACATTTCACAGATAATTTACTACTATGTCGAAATGAAATTAACGACGGGCATTAAAAATAATATGCACAGCTTTCGCCTTCTACTCCAAAAATTGACTATGAGTTACTCTGTACGTAGTATGCCGCGTATGAAAAGCATCATTTCATTAAGTTGCAGTTGTCATGGATTCAAGCGTCTTTACTATATTGTATAGCTTGAACTTTAGTTTACGGTACTCTCGAGTTAGGTATGTGCAAAATATTTGATGGTAAATGTTGACAAATGTAGTCTAATTTAACACGTTGTCTAAAATAAAGATATCTTACATTTGCCCAGTAAGGAAGCCCCATGGCCATCGGTGACCCATCAATCCAGCGCCATTGCCCCTCCAGGGCTTCATCAGAGCCTCCTATCCAGTATCCGTACGGATTATAATCTTTCCAAGGGGAGATAAATTTAAAAACGTGGATATCATATTAATTTTAAGTTTTGAATGACATTAGAATGAGTTCGAAATTATTATTATCAATCAATATATATATTTAAACAATTGAAACCTAGTTTAAAAACAAACCAAAGTTTCTGCTTGAAATGCAGCTCATTGTATATGTTGAAGCTTATAGTTTCATAGGCTTCACATAATTTGCATTTTAATTTAGTGCCTCATCGTCCAGTCAGGCGATGCTAGTCTTCGTCTGATTTGGTATGGCGAATAGTTCGATCTCTAGCAAAAAACCATTGCCTTTTGACTATTGATGCTTCATTTTTATGATCATTTATTTTACTAATTCGTAAGTCAAAAATAGGATAGATGATTGCAACATGTTGGCTTGGGATACATAAATTTTATTTTTGGGACCCACTGGTCTGTGGTTACTTTTCTAACGCCAGTAAAACAGGACGGGTTAATTAGAACGCAAGCAAATTTAGCGATTGGCAAAGTTGTTACATTATCACTACTTCAGACTTGAGTCGTTCGCTGGTGAATCACAGGCATTGGTTCTGGCAACTTATGCTTACTGTTCAATTTAACCAATAAATAGCTGGACTGTTTGCTCAAATAGCTAAGATTTATCGTGATAATACAATGCGGCAAAACGTCTACTTTAATTCTGCTGTTTACCTTGCTTCTCGAAGTAGGTGGTAACCTTGCTGTACTGGTCGCAGTCATCCAGAATTATCAGATCTCCTCCAGTCGCTCCACACTCGGTGCGTGCAGCGCTCCAGGAATCAAAATCAGTTAGAAGTAAGTGAATGCATTGTGTACCCACCAAGACGTACGGAGTAGTGCACAACCCTGCATGAAAAAATGTGATGTTGCACTAAAAATATGGTCATTAAATAAAATGATCTGTGCAACGGGATCATAAATAGAATGAATTTTTTTCATTACTTTATTGCTCCTGTTTTTCACTACTCTGTTTAATTTTATTGATCCTATTTCTACCTTTGGCGAGACTGCCAAGCACTCCATCCTAAATAGTACCGTTATAGGTAGCTTGAATTAAGTAATTCTTTAGAAGTTCATGCTTGCCTTGAGTTGCAACGAAATTTGCTTACAAATTATCGTCCATAAATGAAAGCCGTTTGTGAAGAAGGCGAAATATTTTAGGTCCGGAGAGTAGTTTGAAAATAGTCAAGATCTCACCACCGACCGGAGCTCTAGAGCACGCTGCATAAACTTCGTAGTTTGAAGGCTTCAAGTCATTGATCAGCCAGCCCCATTCGGAGCCTATCACAGCATAGTTGTCAGTTGTTCCACCATTAGGTTGTGTCTTCCCATCCGATGCAACGTTCTGGAGGAATCCAACGCGTTCAAATCGAATGGGCACTCAAATCCTGAATTTGCCGAAAATATGAAATCCAATTAAATATGAACAAAAATTTAATTTTAATTGTAACGAAATTATGTTTTGGGCAAGGCTAAGTCTTTAATTTTGCAACATTGATATCATACTGGAATGATAAGTTCCCCGGAGCTCGGTCAGTATAATTTATTACGAATATGTGTTAAAAAGTAATGAAATAAAAACTAAACTGGCCTAGTTTTTCTGCCTAGTTTCGTTCCTCTATTGTTTCGTTTTCATGCAATTTTATCGTATTTTACATAACAGTTCTTGAAAATTATAAATTCACTCACGACCGCCCAGTACGGAGCGGCCATTTGCACGGCGGTGCCGTCGTTCCACTGCCATACGTCATTTGCTGAAGAATTGGTAGCGCCCAGCCAGTAGCCGTTGATGGCGTCCGCTGAGACTATCAGAACATATGGGTAAACAGGAGATGCTTTACAATTCTGACTCAAGCACGGATTGTGTAATATAGTAAGTATTCAAAGTAAGTAGTTGTAAAATAGTGTTATTCATACCATTTATGGAACCCCGTCACACTGTCGTCGACAGTTTCAAGTCTGTAGGCCTTGAAGACATGAGTGTCTAGTGAAACTCTGAGTATGTAGCTAAAAAATGCGTAACTAAATTCAAATTGATGACTGGGATTTTGCTTGCGGTTTTTTCTATTCCGTGTAAATAACTTGGCAAAGAAATATCGATGCATCGAATTAAGTACAGGAATTTCATTTCAACTTGGTTATCGTGCTGATTTCTTTATCAAGCTATATAGCTCACATCCATCGTCAACATAAGTGGCAACACCAATGAAGGAAGCGCAGTCGCGCAGCACGGGCAGCCTGCCGAAGTTCTGGTGGCAGTAAGCCACCGCGTCGTCGTGCGTGAGGTAACCACCAGGCAGGCGGTGGATGCACTTGGACTCAACGACATCGTAGCCAGCGGGGCACTCGATTGCCGCTGCGCCTGTCATATTGGACGAGAAATTTGACTTCGTAATATACAAAATATTTGAACTAAATTTTAGGGTCGCGCCAGCGTCTGCGCGAGCCTCATTACGCGTGCATTGTTTGTCCATGCATCGACACGCGAAAATTATGCGAGCTTAACTAACACGCATGCGTTGCGTTGTCTTTGACCCGCATGCTGTGCGTTCATGTCTAGACGCTTACGATGCGTTTCCGTGAACACGCTTGCGTTACGCTTGTGCGAACTCTTTTGCGATATGTGTACATGAACACGCTTGCATTGCTTGTACGTCAAGATGCGTGTATTGCGTGTGTTCACCAAAACACCAATGTTTCAAAGGCAGGGGTACCAAAACAATCCCCTTTATCCTCTTATTGAGGAGTGGGCGTTATCAACAACCCAGCTTGAGACTATGCTGGGCAGTGAGAGGTAGTTCGGACTGCGGAGGCGCTGACATTGAACAGTGGTATACAGTTCTTCGTCCCGTTCGGATGTCAGTTGATACAAGCATCTAATTCAAATTGTGTAATCTTATCGCGTATAGTGAAGTCTACAACTTGAAAATAACTCAGTTTTGAAAACTGAATATTACCATTTTTTTACATTTTCAGCAATACAAATTCCTTATTTTATCCTGTCCAATGCTCTCTGAAGTGACGTTTATTTCAATGCTTCTCGTCGGCAGGCGGCAGTCATCATGACTGAACAATTGTGCGTTCAAGATTTTGGCAGAGGTAGAAATTTTCAACTTTGGGTATGTTAACATGGGCGTGTTATTTAAGCTGTTCCTGTTCATATGCTCAATGTTTTAATTTCTAATTCAACACGTCATCTGGATCAATTTGCGCAATCGAAAATTTATCAGTCGAGGCTACGCAACAGTCGATTGCGTGGTCAGGGTTTGTCGGTAGCCTCACCACAGGGTGGTGCAGCTAACACGATGGAACAAATTTCACAGCGTATTCTGCTTATTCGCAAGCAAGTTAGTTGCTGTTGTTCCGTAACTATCTACTCTATTTCGTTATATCATCAGGTGTCATGATGGAGTAGCATTTAAGTGTAAGTGAGAATTTGGTTATTTCTAAAGAACTACAAATTATACGAGGATAGATTCATGAAATTTTTCAGCAGTTGCAAGCAATATTTTCAGGCCCCGGTATAATTACTTGTTAGTCGAATAGTTTATTAAAAAAAAAAGAACTGATCAGCTTTAGGTATATTTCTGCATGCTTGAGGTTTTTGCTCAAGCAGAAGATAGCTTATGAAGTACCGCTTACAAGTAGCCCATCTGTGAGCAACATACTTGATTTGAGGATTTCCCATAACTATCGTAAATTCCGATATTTATTATTTACTTGATTGTCTCTCCAGGAATTTAGAGTGCAGTCGATAACTTTAATGCCTGAGATGAACTACATGTGAAACTCAATACTGCCAATGCAGCAGCCGGCGATGGATGCAGAAATTTAAGATCCTCATTTGCTATGAAGTGTGAACAGCTGAAAGCTGCAATCAAGTTACTGCCGTAACTCGATTTTGTTAAGATTAACATGTGCTTCTTCATTCTATTGTGTGGTCTTTCTTTCATTAATGGACGCCCTTTCTTTCATTAATGGAATTTTGAGGCCCTTGCAGAACTGTTAGCTCGATAAATATTTAAGGTGACGAAAGTTTCATGACATGATACGGCAAATAATTCAACGATTATTCTAAATANAGCTGTAAACGTCTATGCATGGAATTGAGCCTCTGGTAGACTGCTCTGATCTTAAAACTGAGCGAGTAGTGCAATATAGACTGAATATATATATATATAAAGTACAGAGATTTAAATACCCCCTCCCTTCCCCCATTATATGGGGATAAGGGAAGGAGCATTTTTAACGCACGCACTTTTCAGATTCGGCCGTGCCTGTTCCGAAGGTATCAGATGCTAAATACGCGCGCCAGGCAGTCGCCCCACGGTTGTCAGGGAATATAGACCGGGTTCTATTCAGGTGCTTATTTCCCACGTACAACCAGAATCGGACATAGAGCCGCTAATTTACACCGCTAGGCGAGCTTGGGGTGTCCTTGAGCAAACGGCTGACAGGAAACAAAATTTTGATAGGGCATGTACCAAATATTTTAAAAGTTTAAATTTCTCGTTTGTTCATGCCATTTCATTCTGTATTCCCAGACTTGCTACAAATAATAATCAGAACGCGAACGCCAAGAAACTGAATAATCTTTCTACTGCTACATTAATTAAGCTTAATAAAGTAGGCGACGGTTGTCATTTAATTGCAATAACAAACCGAAACAAGGAAAACATGCAACCAAAGTTTTCAAATCTCCTTTACAAAAAATCCTAGCAACATAGTTAACGCCACTCCAACTGGAATGTACAACAGTGAACGAAAAATTTTAAGGTATGCTCATATTACAGGCGAGTACGTCCCAGGGTACTTAACATACTATATATGGAGGCTCGCATTGGGTGCGCGTGACACTGATTACATTTGAAAAATAATACTCGCCTGCGACAAGTAACAGCAGGCAGACGATGATGATGAGGATACTTGCCTGCCACAAGCAACAACAGACAGACGACAAAGTTGATACTCACCTGCTACAAGTAACAGACAGACGACGAAGATGATACTCACCTGCGACGAACACAAGACAGACGACGAAGATGATACTCACCTGCGACGAACACAAGCAGACAAAAAACTTTCTTGAGACTCATAATTATGGGTTTGCAAGTCGCGTAACCTGCGTATGAGTTCTACCGGACTGCTCGGCTTGCGAGGAAATTCTTTTTCTTTACAGACGTGGAAAAAAACGCGTTCTTTTGGGACTGTTTCGAGCACACTGAGCGTGAGCCTGATCACCATCCTGCTACAAGTAACAGACAGACGACGAAGATGATACTCACCTGCGACGAACACAAGCAGACAAAAAACTTTCTTGAGACTCATGATTATGGGTTTGCAAGTCGCGTAACCAGCTTGTTTGTTCTACCAAACTGTCCGGCTTGCGAAGTAATTCTTTTTCTTTACAGACGTGGAGAAAACGCGTACTTTTTGGACAGTTTCGAGCACACTGAGCGTGAGCCTGATCACCAGCTGTATTTATGGCACATTTATCGCGGTATGTAATGTGTTTATTACACTGCATGTCACAAGGTATTCACATGGCAAAAGATATTCCATCAGATTGTATTTCTCAGAACATATTCATACCGTGAGAAGTTGTAGCCCTTCTCACAGCTGCAGTTGATAGCCCGTCACAGCGCTGTATATGAGAAACATACACAACGTATACTCAAATATTGAAAATAATACAACACAAGGCCTCTCACTGTATTTTAAATTGAATGATTGCAAAGTAACCTACCATTTGTAATTTTATGGAATCGATGTTAAGGAAGTCGTGTGAGATGTACGCGGCAATTTTATTAATATAATATTAACGTAAGACGGATTATTAACCTTAGACGGCATAATAGTTTTGCCTATAACGATTTGCCTATTACGTCGCATTGTATATAAACCGTTGTATAAAAAGTGTCTTCTTACAAATAAGGTCAACTAATATTGTCCGCATTTTTCTGTAGGGAAAAACTTGAGGGTGAATTGACGGAATAACCTCAAGAAAATATGTTTTATTTTTCTTTAAGATGTAAAACAAAATTTTTAACTGGGGGCTAGTTTCGTGGTTGTTATTTTATGATAATAACGTAAAGAAATAATCTCATGATTTGTAACACATTCCTTATTTAAACAATAACTGTAGTTGTTAACATGTCGATCAATAAATTAAAACAAATCAACACTGAGTCGAATATCGTTCAACGTTCGGATTCTTGGCCCTGCAAGCAGAATTATTGTTAGCCACATTAATTGCGTGCAATAATTATCAATAATGTTTCACTCATTAATTACGAGACCCCTTTTTTCTTTAAACCGCAGCCTGTTTATACATGGCCCATGCGGGACTACTTTCGGTTGACGTACATCCAATTTAAAATGACGTATTTGTTCTGGGATTTAAAGTCTTATCAGAGTTTGATGTATTATCTCTGCCCCAAGATAGACCTCATCTGTATTGGCTGTGCCTAGCAGATCACACGTTGCGTGATGGAGAAAAGCGTGTTGGAGAGCCTGTACCGCCACGCAGAACTGAGCTCCAGGCAATTCTCCACTCCAGGCTTGTCGGGTTCTGGAGTTCCATCGCCATCCTGAAGAGAAAACAAAAGATAATATATGCAGAAAAATTTTACTTTCTTATAATTATAATATGACTAGCTAAATATAATATGAATGCATGTAATTTGCCTCATAAACTACCGGGTATCGATGCTTTAGACAGATGCTCATGTGGCCATAAAAACATCCCAATCTCTTCAGATGATCTTGTGTCCAAATAAATAAAAACAGCCCAATCCATACGGATTGGCCTGTTTTTCAAACGGTTACAAAGTAATGAGACCTTCGTTACTTAGGTATACAACCAAATTCATTTAAATTGGCGCTTTGAGCTAATTCATAAGTTAAAAACTCATCACTCCTCAAGTTTTTTGATATAGAGAGTTTCAATGTTGATTAGGGATGGAGCCGAGTTTCGCACCATATTTAAAAAGTTGTGCAGAAAAAAACTGTCCGCTACTGAGAGGAAAATTCTGCGTCCAAGTTCGTCTACCGAAATGTCAGAGGGATCTGCCTAGCATAGACCTTTAACTTCTTCCCAAGCTTCTGCCGAGACCTCCAGCGACAGAGAAAACCTTGTCAACCCCGGCGGGATTGAATTAAAGATGGCAGTTCCAAATTTCCCACAATTTCGCTGACTTTTCAACGAACTGAGTCACAGTTTGAATCGACTTGCACATTCATGTTAGATTTAATTTAATTGAGGTAATTTTGTCGTGATTCTGGCTCTGATTGCTCTGCTCTTATATTGTATTTTATTGTAATTTAATCTCAAACTAAATATTTTCATGTTGTATATTACATAAAAAGTTTTCTTTTTAAATATAATCTATACGTTAAATTGTCTTACATTTCCACAGTATGGAAGATTGAATAAAAAGATTAGACTATTGGGGTTTTATGAATGATTATTTTATCACTTCAATCAAGTTGGTATGATTATTTTCAAACCGGACGAGGCTGCGAAACACTTCATCAGGAACAAGGCAGCACTGTTGAACAAAAAGGCCATATACTGAGCACGTGCGTCGTAAGCCAACTTCCAAACCGGGCTGGAAAATATTTGACGAAAGGTCGAAAAACGCTTTATTCTAAAAATTTCTTTCGTCTAACATAGACCTAGGAGTGTAAGTAAAATTAACTTCTATAATTTTTTTTGAATGGCAAGATGTTTGTGGGCGCCCATTTGTTAATTATTAGGGAGCATTGTAGAGGAGTGAAACCTGGACTGTTCTGAATGTCCTTTTAATAAATAAACCAGACGTGTTTGCGATGTTGCCGGATTGACCCTGAAGTCCGCGTAGTATAGATAGCCACTAATAGCCTTATTCTGTTTGTGCCACCGCAGGGAACAGGTGTGAACTTTGTACTTATCACCGATGTTTTAAAGTAGGACCAGTGATGTTGTCTTTTATTTCATGGTCTTGCAGTTAAGTGTGTGCAATTATAACTGTCCAAGGTTTGATTTTAGGAATTCTTGTTATGCTTTATTATGCGTTTCTGGTATTTCCAATTTGTAAACTTAGCCTTAATGTTCATCTCTCGTACAGGGAGACATTCGAAGCCTATAGACTAGACTTTGATTCTTACGCACTTGTCATCTTTCGTGTTGACTGAAATCTTAACATTTCGTCATCTTTGTTTCCTTCATGCGTGATGCACTGCAAGAAGCGTGTCGAACTTGAAGGGTTATTGCGGAATAGGTTATGGTTTAGAATTACGCCCAGTCAAAATAAAGGGCCCCATAACAGCATGAAGAAAGCCCTCACCATCCATTGGAGTTCTTGAGCACACAGAATAAACGGCTCGGTTATCGGAACAACTCAAGTCATTGAGCAGCCAGCCTTTGTGCAGAAAAGCGAAGGTCCAGGCTTATATGGGGCAGCAACAGTAAAGTATTAATATTAAAAATTTTCCACACTTGGGACCATCATAGCGCAGTTTGCAATGGTTCCGGCATTGGGCTCTGTCCTTCCATCTACTGCAGTATTTTGTGAGAAACATGACGCTCATCAATAATCATGAGTTCGTAGGTAATAAAAAATTTAACGCAATCCTATGAACGAATTTAATGCTATATGACATTTCTTTGTATCGAAAGCATTGCAAAAATCTGCTCATCCATTTATTCAGCAAGATTTATGCTACAAATAAATAAATTATTTATAAACGTTGGAATTTGGCAAGTTGTTCATACACAATCCAAATTATTGTCAAAACAATTAAATCGTACGTAAATTACTCCGAATTTATTGCTTACGTTCCATGACATGCTTCGAAAGTCAACTGTCTCCTCTCATAATATCTTGCAACAATTTCACGTTCCAGATAAATAAACCGGATTAGGTTGTTGTTGTTATAAGTAAAACACAGAAATTCACTCACGGCCGCCCAGTAGGGAGACCCCATTTGAACAGGTGTACCATCGTTCCACTGCCAGACGTTGTTAGCCGATGCGTCGGTGGCGTCCAACCAATAACCTATGCAAAGCGATGCTGAGCCTGATAGAATATAACGTTAAACATTAGACTATTTACAATTCAGACCAAGGCATGGGTTGTGTATTCTAGGTAACTTCTTCGAACGATTGATATCGACTCGGCCCTCGATAACTAATCAAGAGGAAGGGTGTAAACTAAATGAGGGGTAGCCAGGATTCTGTCGAGATCATGAAACAAGAAGGATTTTTCCAGCATGAGCCGAGTCTCAAACTCCCATGGGAGGCCATCTGTTTGCAAATAATTGCGCTAATGTCACTAGATAAGAGTTAGAAGTGGCTCAGAAAGAGAAGTTCAAGCAGTAAATAGTACAAGACAGGCATATGTCAACACCGGTTACTTCAATACGCTCTTCGACAGCATCTCGTATTAGAACTCAGAATCTTTCAAAAATAGACTCATCAAAATAGGAAACAAATAACAAAGACCCAATAACAGAGTACTATACTATACTATACTAAAACATTAGGTGACATCGATGCCATTAATTCTAACGCCAGGTAAAGTTTTTCTAAGAATGGACTCATATTTTCAGGAATTGATTACTACGCCACAATTATATGTGTTAGCCAGAAATATCTCTATGGATATGTCTAAGCACTTTGGCACAGATCATGAAGATTACTCAACTTTTTCCAGCAAGATTTTAATATATTAAATGTTTACGAAATTACAATGAATTAGAATGGTAATGAAATTACTAGAAGCTCATTTTTGGATATTTTATTTAATTTGGCATTCTCATTAGATACTGTGAAGATATTTGCACGCTTCTGTAACAATCAACTACGCCGCAATTGTAGCCACGTTTGCGGCGTACAAAATTGTCTCTCAATTACTAACCCCCTTAATTGCGCTGCCATTCAAGCCCATTAAAATCATTAGGGTTTCTTCCTCCTCCTCCCACCCTCCAACGATAACCCAACCCCTAGCACCTTTCGCAAATCTAATTGGGGGCATAGCGCATCATTTCGCCTCCTCTAGATATAGGATTTCATATTTTCAGACCTCATCGTGTCACTCCGTGTTTTTCCCTACAATTTCCTAGTGGAATCGCAGATACACTATCTTATCATGACCTTATTTGAATCGTCAAACATTCCTCTACGCAAACATTCCTTGAGGGTCTGCGCCTCGCAGATCTAGAGAGGCTGCGCCTCGCAGATCACACGCCGCGTGTTGGAGCACAGCGTGTTGGAGAAGCGGTACATCCACTGGGAGCTCAGCTCCAGACAGTTCTCCACGCCGGGGTTGTCGGGCTCACGAGGACCCCCACCAACCTAAAAAGGATACAAACGACAAAGTGTTGTAAAAAAATAATGTCTATCGTTGATAAATTCGGACAAAAAGAAAAAAATATGATTAACACGTTGAATACGTATTGGTACATATGCGTACCACGAAATG